TATTTTCTTCTCCATGCCTCTTTTCTCATCTGTAAAATGGGGATAATCATAATACCTGTCTCAAAGCTGTTGTGAGGTTAAAATGCTTAGCAAACAGTAAGCACTTGGTAAGTGTTAATTGCTATAATTATTATGTATTATGTGAGTAGGTTGTCCTGATGGTGATTTGCAAATTCAAGAAAGAATTTCAGGCTTCTCCCTAAACAGCCATGTATGAGTGCTAGGTGTGTGCCAGAGAATTTTCTTCCAGAATCCACTCTTTATATTTTTTACCTTTTTTTTTTTTAAATATCCACTGTTTTTATCTTTTCCTTTGCTCATCCACCAATCACCTGCCTGAGATTAAAGAATGTGCAGTTGGAATCAAAACCAAGGGTTTTGGTCTTAGCCACTTACTGCCCTGTGTGTGAGCTTAAACAAGTCACTGAACCTCTGAGCAGAAGTGGATAATTTGGGGTAACTTAGGGCTGCCAAGTATCTTGCAAAGATGGAGTAACTGTGCATCCTGTTACCCTGGGGTAATGAAACAGAGCATAGGTTGGGACTACCTGGTGATTCTCCACTGGAAGCTAAGACTTATCTGATTGTATCTGTGAATAAAAAAGAAGGTGATTTTTACCCTTTCTTCCTCCTTCCCTCCCTTACAGCAAGAAGTATAGTAGGAAAAGCACCTGAGTAGGAATCAGAAGACTTGGGTTCCTGATTGAGAGCCAAGTCAGCCAATTTGTGACTTGGAATCAAGTGTTGAATTTCTCTACTATTTGATTCCACTGTACTGGGGAGCCTCGGGGATTCACTCCCATTCTACTCAAAGTGTCCCTGTGTTGCTGGTTGTGTAGTGAGCAGGGAGGTACTGTTTTGTACAGTGGTCTTGCCTTGACCCCCCAATTCCCTGGTGACCTCTGTTTCTCAGCTTCCATTCTGTAAAATTAAAATAAGGAGCTAAAATAAGCTACTACATGTACTTGAGGTTTCTTACAGCTTAAACATAATACAAATGCACAGACTTAGAGATACATTTTTTCCTATCATCAGGTTTATTTTCTTCATAGTATTTGATACTGCCTTTTCATCAGATTTTGCTTTTCTTTTTAGTTTTTTTTTTTTTTTTTTTTACGTATTCTTTATTTCCAGTACCTACCCCCTGCTGCTTGACCCCACTTCCAGAACCACAGAAAGTAAGCTGCATGAATTAGAGACCCTATCTCTGTGTTGGACATTGGTGCTAGAATAGTGCTTGGAACATTTTTAGGTGCTTAATAAATACACACATATGCACACAGTCTTGTATAACTCTGCATATAATGTAGCCACTTAGGTTTCTACAGACAGTCGGTTGATTATTTTTCCCCTTACCTACTCCCCACAAGAAAATATATACCACATTTTATTAGGAGATTAGATGAATGCCAAAGTAGCAATGCTAGGGTTCTCACCTTGTGTGTGCACGTAGTGTCAACAGTCAGTATCTCCTGAAATCAGAAGGAAGCCTGCAGATTTTTGGGCTGAGGACCCTGGACCGTGATGACGATGTGCCACGTATCTGCAGTGTAAGTTGGATTCCACTTTGTTCTGTTTATGTACGTGGTGGAGATGATTGGCAGCAAGCTAAGCATAACCTTTGGAATTCTGCTCACACGTGCTATTGAAATTTCATATTACTTTTATTATTTGGCCACAAAAATGGACATAATTCTTGTTGGCTGTAACACACCTACTAGTACTGCTTTAGCTATCCATCTTGCAAAATATAAGACAAGGCCAGAGCTTAAATTAAAATCCTCGGCTTCTTATCTCCTTCCCACAGGAAAGCAAATCTGTGTTGAAAACCGTAAAATTAAGAGGAGAGCAAGGATAGCATAATTTAGCAAAAATTCATGGCACCAGATTCTGAGCTATATGACTGGAGGGATAGGTCAGACATTAAGATGCTGCCTGCTAATGCAAGTTCCTTAAGGTGGTGCTCTGGAAAAAAGAATATTTCCAGAAGATTTCGGCAATGTTTATTTACTCTTTATAAGTACCCTAAGAAAATATCTTTGTAGATTGTTTGGCAATTATGCTGCCTTATGAAACTTTCAAAATGAAATTAAAAGCCATTATTCTAAAGTATATTTGAAATCTATTCATTTTAACATTTGAGTGTTGAGATTTGTGTTTCTATTTTAAAAGAGTTTGTGATACCCTCCTCCTATCCCTACCCCCACTTCTAGCATTCTGAATTCCATATCTTTAAGAAGCTCATTCTGCTATTTGAAAAACTACATCATTAAAACTTGAAAAGCATTAAAAGATTTGCTTAACCTTTTACAAATTTATATGCATAGATGTTTGTGCTGAGGTGTATAGAGAAAAACCATGTGGCTTTGATAATAGTGCTCTATTTAATATACGCCAAGAGCTATATGAGCTATGCAAGTTTTGCCAGTAACGAGGAGCTGATAATTATAAAATGAGGAAAATCTAGTATGGAAATTATATCATTTTCTAAAAACAAGTGTGTTTTTTTTCCTTTGCTTCTTCCCCCCTCTATTTTGGGTGGAGGGTGTAATGATAGGGTGTAAGGAGAATTACTAGGGTAATCATTTCTAATTTTCCTGAGGGGAGTCCTTCCCATTGGAGCCACATATTTTTTATGCCTAATTTGTAAAAAATATCAGGTTCAAACTTAGTGTATGTCTTAGATACAGCCACCATACACAAGTCTGTTATGGGGCCCTCTTAACCAGTCAGATATGGACTGACATTTTAAGCAGTTCACATTGTGCGGTTTTAGGCACTTTGTCAAATTTTTAAAAGCTATGAATATTTGCTTCAGGAGAAAACTGATTTCACATTCATTTTAGTCAATAATATAATAAGATCTTACTAATTCAAACTAATTATGATGAAGGCATGTCTGAACTAGTGAATTCATTATGCTCCATTTCTCTTAAATTCATGTTACCCATTACTGTAGTGTTTTTAGAGATTTTTCTGCAACTGCTTTAATTATTAGATTAGTTTAAAATCAAATAGACACCTCTAACAGGTATATCATTGTGTTGAGTCTCCTTATATTTGGTAAAGGAGTTATTGGGTTTCTTTAAAATGATCCCCCTAAAGCAGTTGTTAATGGGTATAAAAGTACAGTTAGATAGAAGGAATATGTTGTAGTAAGTACAGTGGGGAAATTATAGCTAACAATAGACTCTTTAACAACTAGAAGGGAAGAATTGTAATGTTCACAACACAAAGAAAAGAAAATGTTTGAGGTGATGAATATTCCAGTTATCCTGATTTGATCATTCTACATTTTATACATGTATCAAAATATCACGTGTACTGTAAAATTTCTACAACTATGCCATATCAATAAAAATAAATAAGTGATTTTTCAAATTAGGTTAAACCTACCTAAGTCTTCTTTATATTTTTTGATTATTTAGTAAGCACTTTCTGGTTGCGAGGGGATCATCCTTAACTTTGTAACCCAAGTGATCACAGATTTCAAATTGATGAAGTTAAAATAGATAACCTGAATTAACAAGTGTTACTGTTGACTTCCAAATTAAATAATAAAATACGTTTGTAAACAAGTGTAAGATATAGAAAGTGTGTTAAAATATACAATGTTAACAATTAAAAATATTTTTAAAAGCAGTATCTTGGCTGGGTGTGGTAGCTCACACCTGTAATCCCAGTACTTTGGGAGGCCAAGAGGGGTGGATCACGAGGTTGTGAGTTCAAGACCAGCCTGGCCAACGTAGTGAAACCCTGTCTCTACTAAAAATACAAAAAAAAAAAAAAAAAAAATTAGCCAGGCATGGTGGTGGACACCTGTAGTCCCAGCTATTTGGGAGGTTGAGGCAGGAGAATCTCTTGAACCCAGGAGGTAGAGGTTGTAGTGAACCAAGATTGTGCCACTGCATTCCAGCCTGGGGGACATAGTGAGACTCTGTCTCAAAAAAAAGGCAGCATTTTATATCATGAAGTTCAACTCGAGATTGGAAATTCCCTTTTATCAATGAATAATTCTGAAAACTAGAGAAGCAAATGAACTGAGGGGCCAAAGCATAATTGATAGTTGTGTTTGATTGACAAAGCTATAAAACTTGAAAAAATGGTGTAACATGGTTCTTAAAGATGTACAACCATAGAATTATGAATTCTATAAGTTGAGGGGATATCAGTACAGAAAATTTATACTTATTGGGTTGTTTAAAAATTTCTCTTTCAAATTGACAATATTTATTCATTTATTTATTCATTGGACAGTTTTTTGCTATTTTGTGCCAGGCATATGTAATGAATAAAAATGTTGTCAAGCATTCATAAATTTTATTCTAATTAGCTCTTTATTGACTTAACCTGAGGAAATAATCTAAAAGAGAGTGTAAAGATACATGTACAGAGATTTGGACGGGTGCTGGCTCATGCCTATAATTCCAGCACTTTGGGAGGCTGAGGCGGGTGGATCACGAGATCCACAAGGTCAAGAGATTGAAACCATCCTGGCTTACATGGTGATGACCCATCTCTACTAAGAATACAAAAATTAGCTGGGCCTGGTGGTGCATTCCTGCAGTCTCAGCTACTTGGGAGGCTGAGGCAGGAGAATCGCTTGATCCTGGGGGGCTGAGGTTGCAGTGAGCCTAGATTGTGCCACTGCATTCCAGCCTGGCAACAGAGCAAGACTCTGTCTCCAAAAAAAAAAAAAAAAAAAAGAGAGATTCATGCCATATGGAAGAGTAGTGAGTGAGCAGTGATCAACCTAAATCTCTGAAGAAGCCCTGGTGAAATAACTAATACTTCATGAATATCAGTGACATATTCATATGTTTGAGAAGTATTTATCATGGAAAAATTCTAAAAGAGACAGTTCCACTTGTCCAGGTCTGAAGGTGCTTCTTGGTTTATGTCAATGACTGGTTACTGCTACTATGTGATTTTTTTTCTTTGGGAGAAAAGACTGTAGCTGGACATCCATATTAACTGCTGACCTTGTGGTTACTTTGCAGTCAAATAAAGTGCCCGTGGTGCAGCCATCCCATGCGGTCCATCCTCTCACTCCCCTCATCACTTACAGCGACGAGCACTTTTCTCCAGGATCACACCCATCACACATCCCATCAGATGTCAACTCCAAACAAGGTGAGAGTCCCTGTCTTTCCAGGCCTCTTTTGCTAAGTGAAGAGCCAAGTCTCGTCAGTGTGAGTGACCCTCCAGATGCCAGTGCTCCATGTCCCTGGGTGGATCAGAATACATTTGGCAAGACAAGAGTAATTCATTTGATAGCAGTTATTTAGAAACACACAAGAATTTGTTGCTTTTACTATTCATGATTAAAAAGCAGAAGAAAAGCATAGCAGGGCCACCTTCCAAGTGGCGGCTCTGAAAATCTTTCCTTCACAATGTAAGCCAATAGGTTGTGCAAATATACTAAAAATTCAGTACCCTCCAATATGCATTTATTTCAGCATGAGCAAGGTGTTGATGCTGGTAATTTTAAAATAGGAATGAGGAAAGTAGGATATTTTGACTTCAGACATTATTCTTTTGAATCTCTTTTGGTTATTCCATTATATCCCCATGTTGTTTCATCTTCTTTTATTTACCAGCAGTTAGATTACGTATTATAAATAATCCTTGACGTATACAATCTATTTAAAGTCCAAGAATCTTAAACCTTATTTTGCACTTCTACATTAATATTTGCTTCTACTTTGTTTATAGAAAAAATATATAGTACAAGATGTCTGAAAATTTAAAACATTTCATTTCTACCTGACATGTATGGGTACGAGATGGGAGTAGAACAAAGAGCTCTGGTCCACAGGCCTTCTGGTCCCATCTGCTCAGGGCAAAGCTCAAAGGTGGATTTGCTCTCAGGGTGGCTCGTTCCTCTTTGCATACACATGCACACTTGGACTTCAACAGGGTCTTTCAAAGTTCAAAATAAAATATTAAAAAAAGAAAAAAAGATGTGAAGGCAGAGAACAACATAAAGGGGGAAAATTTGCCACTGTCTACATTTTACCCTTTTGTTCACCCCTTTTTGAGACTTACAATGGACAACAAAATTTAATAACTGTGTGAAATAGAGTGGCATAGAGGCTAGGTGTTGTTTCCACTACTTGTGTGTATTTCCTCATTAAATACTTAACGCTTTCACTTCCCTTCATTGTTAAAATAGAATGCTTATTTGAACACTTAGTTACTAGTGCACTAGACTTGAGTAGAGTCTGAGTACTTTAACTTCAAGAAGGCTGGAGTCACTTATGCAGACATTTCCAGGTTTGTCTCTGTTTTATGCCTTATTCCCAAACCTTCCTCCACCATGCTTCCTTTAATCAAGAGCTTCCAAAGAATTAGGGATGTCAAAAAGTCAGGTCTGTGGCTATATAGTGAGAAAGGGAATTAAGAAAGGGGTCTCAGGAGGCGGGTGAGTTTGAGGGGGACCAGTCTTGGTTGTGGTGAATTTGAAGTGTCTGTGAGATACCCAAGGGGAGACAGGAGGTAGGCCACTGAAATATGGGGATCATAATCACAGACCAGGATCTGAGCAGGAGGTGCACATCTGGGAACATATTTAGTTGTTAATTATTTATTTAACTACTTATTTAACTATTTATTTAATTAAATAGTGTTTACCCTGTCCTAGGTCCTGTTTTGAAACATTAACTTATTAAAAGAATAAGAAATCAACCATAGTTCAGTAGTTTTTCTCTCAAGAATAATAGGACAGTTCAATTTTTTAAAATAGTTAAATTTATAAATGGCTCTCAATTACACTTACAGTTTCTCTTCTGTTTCCATCTCTTACTGTCACTGTACCTTGTTTTCCATAATTGTAAGTTATATCTTTTTTTTTTTAAACAAACTCTCCAAAACTACAGAGAAGAGACTAATGGTCATCACCAGAAGTTGTCTGCTTGCAGTTTCTTAAGTCTTTATTTTGTTCTAAAGATTGGTGTGATTTTTGTATTATAGTCTACACAATGTTTGTGCTTGTTTTAATATAAAGATTCTGTTTTGTCCCTGGTTTCATGTTCCTTATCATCATGGACTTCCAGAGTTATATAACCTCCAATTTGAAAAAGGCACCCACTTACATGAATGATACTGAGTTTGTATCATTCCAGTTGGGTACTTTGGTTGCCAAGAAAACAAGCTTACTAGATCTCTTGCTTTTAATTCTTTCTCTCTCCTGTCTTTTGGGGTATATCATGAGCTCAGCTGGTTAGCACATGATGGTACTGAGTCCAGAGCAGCTGGTTTCAAAGTTCCTAGCAGACTAGTTAGCTGTATCTTCCCCCAACCCCTCTGCCTCGGCCAAAAAAAAAAAGCAAGTGCTTATAGGAAATCCTAGGTTTATGTGTCTGTTTTTATCTACCTATTATTAATTTTATCCTTACAAATAGCAACAAATACTTATACTTTATACCAGGCACTTTTCCGTAGCACATATATTAATACATTTATTCTTCACAACAATCTTATTCTGATTTTATAAAACAGTAGCAATTAATAACTTCCTCAAAAATACCTATCTATTTAGCAGTATATCCATATAGTCCGACTTCAGTATTATTTCATCTATGTCTTTAGAAGTTACCTATAAAAGTTTAAAAATATTGAAGGCTATGCTGAGTATATCTTCTAGCACATAGTAAGTGTTCAATAAATGATGTGAAATGTGCTGTGCACGGTAGTTCATGCCTGTAATCCCAGCTACCCTGGAGGGTGAAGCAAGAATCACTTGAAACCAGGAGTTTGAGGCCAGCCTGGGCACCAGGGTGAGACCCCCTCAGCTCTAAAAAAGTTTAAAAAAAAAAATCTTAAAAAAAATGATGTGAAATGTGTCTTCAGTGGCATAGCAGTTGGTGGAGAGACACACACTTCTGGGAATCTTTGAAAATAGGATCTTAAAAGGACAGTGACCTATTTAGAAAACCCAGATCCACTTTCTGCTCATATAATGACCTAAGCCACATCATGTATTTGCATGTACATGCAAAATGGTTGATTATATTGACCCAGCATATGGAATGGGTCTACTTTAACACTTTTGATTTCACTTATTTGTTCAGCTGGTCAGAAATACTGAGAGCCTCCTCTGCAGAAAACCATGGTTTGATACATAAATTGGTAAAATATCTTTTTCTCCAAGCAGTATATAAGTTCATGTTGGAAATCATTTGTACAGACTGACTATAAAACACAATGAAGAGCATCCCAGGTACCATGTTAAAAGTACAAATAAAAAACTTTTGTAGATTCAAAGAAAGATTTCTCAGAGAAAATTACCTGTAAGAGGAGCATTTGAAAGAATAGAATTTCTATAGATACAGTCCAATTAAATGCCTAGCATAGGACCTTCTGTGTAGTTCCTGCCTTCTAGCAGAAGTGTGAAATCCAACTAGTTTTTATTTTTTGTTCTGCTAAATAACTTCTGAATATTATCACTACTGCTGTGTTCTAAGCGTACTTAGAACATGGAGTAGCATGGAGAGTGAGAGTTTAAGCTTAAAGACATGTGACTGCAAGCAAGTTACCCCTCCATGTCCTAGTGACAAAAATTTAGGACAGAAAACAGATGACTTAACAGTCACTTAGCCCCTCTAGACCTCAATTTCCACACCTGTGAAACAGAGGAATTAAGATAATTCAGGACCAGGCATAGTGGTTCATGCCTGTAATCCCAGCACTTTGGGAGGATGAGGCAGGTGGATCATGTGAGGTCATGAGTTCAAGACCAGCCTGACCAACATGGTGAAACCCCTCTCTAGTAAAAATATAAAAATTAGCCAGGCGTGGTGGCACACAACTGTAGTCCCAGCTACTTGGGAGGCTAAGGCAAAAGAATCCCTTGAATCTGGAAGGTACAGGTTGTGGTGAGCCGAAATTGTGCCAGTGTACTCCAGCCTGGGTAACAGAGTGAGACTCGTGTCTCAAAAATAAAATAGGTAATTCAGATAGTCTGTGACTCCTATGACTTTCAAGTAAGTAGAATAAAACATTCAAATTTCTACTAAGTTTCTAATGTTTTTCAGAGTTGGTCTAGTTGTATTGATTTTATTTTATTTTATTTTGTTCCCCAACCCCCGGCCCGTGACTGAGCAATCCCCTTACAGACCCTGAGATTTGGGGAGGTATCTGGATCTCAGAGTTAAGGGAGCAGCAAGTTGAAAAAACTCCTCAATGATTCTGATATGTCAAGAATCACCACTTCAAACTCCCCCCCCCCACAAAAAATCCTAGGGTAAAAAATTTATGTTCCACTGTAACTGAAAGAGTCAGTATTTCTAACAAAACCAATTTTTTTTTAAATAAAGGAGATTTGAGACCATTGTTTTAAAAACAGCAAAACATGAGATGATTTAAAGTAAGCCCTCTGTTGAGAGATTAAAGATTTTTTTCTTTCCAACTACTTTCTGTAAGAATTGAGAAATAGTTTGTTCTAACTTCAAAGTTGAATTAACACCAACTTTGAAGATAGCACTTCTTGTCATTCCCAGCTTCAAGGCTTTCAATATCTTTAAGATACAAATGAAATTCGTAGTCATTTTAAATAGTAAAAGGCAGAATATTTAAGAAACATCTTCCATGTACTCATCTAATTCCACCTATTAGCCAGTATATAATATTTATAGTCACTGAATGTATAACCTGGGTATTAAACCTTGGAATATGTGCTGGTATATGGAAGTGGTCTTTTAAAGCCATCTTTAGCTATGTGAAGACACTTCTGTGGCTTTTTTCTATTCTGAATCAGTTTCCCCCAAATACACTGAGTCTAAGTTTTTATATTTTATATTTTCTGCATTTGTCTTGTCATTTTTTTCTTCTGTACCTGGGGTAAGGTATAAACAAAGGGACGTCACTTGGGACTAGGATTACGTATAATCTTTAGGTGGTTTTCACAGTTACTCCTGGGCAGTGTACTCCAGGGAGTGTGAGCTCAAGAAACAATTTGGTGGCACTCTCATTTTCTGTGGAATTCAGCTAATTCAGAACAACTTAACCTTGCAGCCCAGAGGACTCAACTTGATGAAGAGCTTAGTTGGAGCTGAAGTGGCAGACAGAGACCAAATGAATCATATCAAGTGTGACCATTATGGGGCTGAAGATGATTCCTAATTAATCTTTGATCCTCTGAGGTGTCACATTTCCCAAATCTATGTGTCCGTAAGGGAACCAATGAAAATATGAAAACGGCAATTTAACTAATCCTTGAACACCATGGCAAGCCATCTACTTATGAAGGGCTGTCATTTTCCATTCTACAAAAAAACCATTTTCATGCTATACAAAACAATTGTCTACCATTTTCTTAAGTAACATGAAATAATGAGGGCAAAATAAATAATTTAAAAGTCTATTTTGATGACTGTATTACTAGCAGCATCTTTACTCCTTTAGGAGTTCCTTAAGATAATATAATCTGAAGGCCAGTTTTCCCAGATGTTGAAATCTTGAGAAACGCTAAAAATATTGACTCCTGTTCTTTGGATCTGGTGAATAAATATTGCTTCATTCTGAACTTTAAGTATGAATGGTATAAAACATGTAGTTACTTTTCTCGTTCAATATCCTTTAAATCTGAAAATGATACCTCTGTTCTGTTTAACAGGCATGTCCCGACATCCTCCAGCTCCTGATATCCCTACTTTTTATCCCCTGTCTCCTGGTGGTGTTGGACAAATCACCCCACCTCTTGGCTGGTAAGAACCTTGCCGCAACCTTCAGCCAGGCATTTGAACACATGTTCTTCCACTTTCCATTCATGGATATTAGATTTGCGAATGGTAACACTTGTGGAGTTGAAGAAATTTCACATCAACAAGCAAGGTGCTAACTTTATTCATTTCAATTTAAAAGATTAAAAACCATACAGACTTTGAAATGGATTGAATCTGTTTGCTAATACAGGTAGAAAATGACTGTAGCATTTGCTTTGAAGCTTATAGTTTCATGGATTCAATTTGTGGCTTTGGGCATTTGCTATGCCTGTATAGTTAGTGCTCAGTGTGGTTTTCCTTTTTCTAGGTTTTTTTTTTTTAATGAACAACTTATATTTTTGAAACATGAACTTACACACATAGAATATCTACCTTTGCTTGTAAGTGGGCAAATGAGGTAAATGACAAAAAAAGCTAGAGAGAAATTCAGCAATATAAGAGCATTTTTGGATGTTAAAGAAATAAGTGTCCAATATGAGTGCAAAGTAGTAAAAAACTGATTTGGAGGCCTTGTTTTTTTTGGACTATAAATGCTAATGCTCTTTATTTTGTTGTTTATTACTAAAAATATGCTTACTGCTGCCTCCAAAATCTTCTCAATTATGAAGGTGAAGGAAGTATATTTTGGGAAGAAAGAATAATACAGTATAGCCTATTTTTATTATTTTATGATTAGCCTACAACGTTTTTTCCTCCCATTCCTATACTGTCTCTACTCTTCCCTCCCCACTTCTCCATAGGAATAATTCTCAACTCTAGCACTTGTTTCTCTCCTTTTTCCACTTGGCTCTCTATGTCACAGCCCCCATGTCATCGGCCCACATCGCCATACCTGGACATCCTTGCATTATCCTTCTTCAGCCAGGAAGGCTCATCCTGCCATGAACAATCCAGCTTTCTCTCTTTCTTTCTCTCTCCCTAGCATTACATCTCTTAGTCAGTAACTGCTTGAACTTAATTGATTATGCATACACTTTCAAACCTAGATCAATTATTCTGTCTGAACTTAGCGACTTAGGGGCAATAGTCCTGTGCTGAATTGTACCACTGGCAGCTAGAAATAAAGTCTGTGTAAGTGAAAAATGAGAGATGTAGAAAGAACAGAGGGAAAGATGGACTTAGGATGGAGGGAAAATAATTCCAGTGAATTAGTCTTTTATTTCTTGACTTTAACATATATATTGGGGGAAAGGTATGGTGTTTTTTAAATGTTTATTTTTATATAAATATAAAGTTTTATTTTCTTCTTTCTTCCCTTGCCTGAAATTCTCAAAAACTCTGATAAGTCACTCAGCTCCTTCTCTGAAGGGAATATTTCAATATTCTCAGGGTTCTGTTATATTCAATAAACATTCAAGTGCCTACTTTGTTCAAAGCATTAATGGGGTTGGGAGAGGGGACGGAATAAAAGAGACATAATTTGTGAACAGTTTGTTTCCAAGTTGAGGGTGGGAGATTTCCTTCAAGGCAAATTATGCTTTGATTGGGTGGAGGGTGAGGAAGGGGAACGGTTACATATCTGAAACCATGTGGAGGTCTGTAATACTTCCACAAGATTCTGTTTGAATATCTCCCTCTTCTCCCCTCATCCAACTCTTACTGCTGGTTGGTAACTCGTGTTTTGTCATTGATGGGTTCCTTTCTTCTGTGACCTCAGGCAAGGTCAGCCTGTATATCCCATCACGGGTGGATTCAGGCAACCCTACCCATCCTCACTGTCAGTCGACACTTCCATGTCCAGGTAGGTGGAGGTGGAAACTGGGGCGCTCAAGGACAAGTTGCTCTTCTCGTGCTTGCATCCTGTGCGCCTCTGCTTGCCTTTTGGTCAGCTAGGAGGGTGCATACCTCAGCCATGTGTCTGTCTGTGCAGTGTGCCTGGCTCCCACACTAGGTGTCAGAGAGAGTCCCGGGTAGGAGCCCTGCACTGTGCCGCAGCCGCACCAGCCACACCATCGGGGGATGGACACAGCCTCCCTGGAAAGCATTGCCTCCAAACCAATCCATGACCGCCTGACTGTGGGATGGAACTGTCCGGAAAGCGGACATTACAAGAAGAGTTTGTTTGATTCAAAATATGCCGGAGGAGGATAAAAACTGGTTTGATCTCAGTTCTATAATATGCTTCATTTGTGGAAAGTTGTATCAGTTTGATGCGGCAGTGTTTGAAAATGCCCAGAGCCTAGAGCCTTCCTGGACGGAGGCTGTCAGAAGAGACAGAACGGTGGGGACAGGCTGGCAGGCCGTACAGGGTGTGTGTCCTAGTGTGTGAATCAGGCCTGTGTGGACATGGTTGTGCCAGCGGAGCTCGGGAGGCCTGCTGCGCTTCCCCGAGAAGCTGCTGTGTGTGATGCTTTTGCTTCTGGAGAGGATGGCTCTGTGCCCTGTGCTTGATGTACACACACATTTGGTATGCATTATCTGTGTGTTCGATGTGGCTTTGTCAAGGGAGCTAGCATTATTGTGCCGGAAGTCAAACTGGTAGGTTATTAACTGGTTGTGAATCTGTCTTTTTTATATGGGTATAAATTTCATATTTTCTGGGGTGAATTACAGCTTAAAAAATTTTTTTTCAGTGACTTGTAAATGTAGCCGATTGTGGGAGGAGATGGAATTACTATCTTTCCCCTTAAAACATATTTTTATACTTTTTAACATTGTAAGAACTATCTGATGATAGGATTCTGACAGGCAAATAACTAGCATCATATATTTTTGCAAGTAATACAGCTAACAAAGCATCGTTATTTGGTCAAATATTTGTATTTTTACCGTGCTTCCTTAATATTTTAAGACTTGTTCTTGAAAAATATATGTCCCAGCAGAGTTTCTTTCCAGATGAGGAAATTAATTGTGTAGGCTGTGATGAAAGACCTGAGAATGTTGTCTTGCTGAGTTAAATGTTTACTTTAAAACAGTTTGAAAAGCAAAGATTTCTAAAACGTATCCAAATTTATCTAGAGAGCATATTGAAAGGAATGTCTCTATTTATTTTATTTTTCTTGCATGGCAGTTTCCCTCCTTTGTGTTGGCTGGTGGTGGATATTTGGAGACTTTTTGATACTGTACAAGCATACTTGGGAAAAAGCCTTTGGCGGGTGTAGTTTTTAACCTTGATGCAGAACTGTATCCTTCCTTTTAATTAAATTCTTCTCCTTATTTCTGTTACCAGTTTTCCATAAGATGTCATCTCTGAAACATTAGTTTATATCTGCACAGAAAATCATTTTGGATGATGTTAATGGAAACCTTATTAAATGGGAGACTGATTCCTATCCCTTTTCTCAGTTGTTCCTTCCTCGTATGGATGAGGAAGCCAACAAGATGAGAACATTTTCATTGTGATGGTTTGCTTAGGAATATAGGCAGAGATTTTAACATGTGGTGTCTTTTGCTTTCATTTAAAAATCACTTTAAAAGCTAAGTCTTAAAGTGCTATATTTCCAATAATGACTTTTAATGAAATTCTTATTTTAAAATTGCTTTGCAAGAAAAATGATTCACTTTTTTTTCCAAATCTTATGGCCTACAGCCTTCCTAGAAAAATGTCATATTCTACTATTAGTTTGAAAAAACTACAGGGAATAATTGTAAATATTTCCACCTGAATACAGAAGGAAAAAAAAATTATCGGCCCACTCTAATTTATAGTTAATGCTTCTGTGCATAAAGATGCGTTTTTACTCTTAGCCAGTAGCCGTTAGTGGATTGCTTTGAAATTCTATCTGGCTTTTGCTACAACAGCCAGTAGTACATTGTTTTCTTCTCTTTCCTTCTTTTAGGTTTTCCCATCATATGATTCCCGGTCCTCCTGGTCCCCACACAACTGGCATCCCTCATCCAGCTATTGTAACACCTCAGGTCAAACAAGAACATCCCCACACGGACAGTGACCTAATGCACGTGTAAGTATCCACTCGGGCTCTGCTGGGTTGCCTTACGCTACGCAGGATTTCTACACTGTTGCTCCTTTGCAGCAGTGATCCTTCACTTCTTTCTGTTACTGTAAAACTCAGTGGACCTCTGCCTTGAAAGCTGTGTCCCTGAGGACATTAAGCAGCTTGATTCCTACTGTGCTGATTTTGATTCTGAAGTTGGAAAGGAGCACGGACCTCAAAAGATCATGGGAACCCCACCAAAATGGAGAAATCTTCAGAACGTGGGCACTCAAGACTCTGGAGCTGTTTAGCCATTTATCACTGAATTTTCATTTGGTTCAGATTTTTGGCAAGAACCTATTCCTACCTGAGTGAAGTAGACTGGAGGGTCTAATGCACCTTCTTCTGGAAGTACAGTTACCCTGGCTCCAAGCTTCAACAGCACAGAATTCGAGGGAAAGAAATAAAGCCCAAGATTCCCTGTTGGGCCAGGGTTGTCTCAGACTGTTGGAGCAGGGCTAAATTAATTTACTCTGAAGAGATTAGTAATTGAGCTTCTTAATCTAGGTTTTGTGGATGGGAGGGTGGAGGTGGTAGGCAGCATATGGTAGTCCATAAAGCCCTTGCAAATGTATGCAAAGGCAGCTTGCATTTGTTTGGGGGAAAAGGTCTAAAATTTATTAGCTTCTCTAAGTGGTCCTTGAGCCCCCGCAAAAGTTAAGAACCTCTGTTCTGAAAGAGGAATGATTACCTGTACTGTGTGTTCAGCTTCTTCAGAGCCCACCTGGAGCACCTTCACTATGCCCAGTCCACTTCTACTTGGAGCTCATAGTTCTATAATGACAGGTCCACTTTCTCAAACCAAAGGGTTTTATTCACAGAATCACTGAGTGGATAGGAAGTTCCTATTGGATTGGTTGTTTGCCTCTCAGTGTTTTGTCAAATGAGTCAAGAGCTGCTCTTCCAAGTTGATGGTGTTCTGGGGCAAGAGGGTTGTCCCCAGCCTGAGCAGATGCTCTGCTTCTCTCCCCCTGATCCCTTCCTCATTCCTTCCACCCCTTCCCCTAACCACCACCACTATCACCTTTTAGGAAGCCTCAGCATGAACAGAGAAAGGAGCAGGAGCCAAAAAGACCTCACATTAAGAAGCCTCTGAATGCTTTTATGTTATACATGAAAGAAATGAGAGCGAATGTCGTCGCTGAGTGTACTCTAAAAGAAAGTGCAGCTATCAACCAGATTCTCGGCAGAAGGGTAAGTAGTGGAGTCAGGCATAAATGTTTATGGCAACCGTGGAACTGCTTCATGAAAATCTGCCCCAATTTAATCACCTATTAGGTGGTCATGGAACGTGTTTTCACTTTTTTTTTTTTTGAGACAGAGTCTTGCTCTGTTGCCCAAGCTGTACTGGAGTACAGTGACATGATCATGGTTCACTGCAGCCTTAACCTCCTGGGTTCAAGCAATCCTCCAACCTCAGCCTCCCAAGTAGCTGGGACTACAGTTGTGGCCACCATGCCTGGCTAATTAAAAAAAAATTTTTTTGTAGGGAATGTGTATTGCTATGTTGCCTGGGCTGGTCTCAAACTCCTGGGCTCAAGCAAACCTCCCACACTGGCTTCACATAGTGCTGGGTGAACAAGTGTGAGCCACCTTGCCTGGCCCCATTATCATTCTTTTTCTTTTTCTTCTTTTTTTTTTTTTGAAATGAGTCTTGCTCTGTTACCCAGGTTGGAGTACAGTGGCATGATCCTGGTTCACTGCAACTTCTGCCTCCTGGCTTCAAGTGATTCTCCTGCCTCAGCCTCCCAACTAGCTGGGATTACAGATGCCTACCTGGATAAGTTTTGTATTTTTTTTAGTAGATACAATGTTTCACTGTGTTGGTCAGGTTGGTCTTGAATTCCAGACCTCAAGTAATCCACCCACCTTGACCTCCTAAAGTGTTGGGATTACAGGCGTGTGACACTGTGCCCTGCCCCATTATCATTCTTGTGTGTGTGTGTGTGTGTGTGTGTGTGTGTGTGTGATGTAGTCCTGCTCTGTCACCAGGCTGGAGTACAGTGGTATGATCTTGGCTCTTGGCTCACTGCAGCCTCCGCCTCTAGGATTCAAGTGATTCTCCTGCCTCAGCCTCTTGAGTAGCTGGGATTACAGGCACACATCACCATGGCTGGCTAATTTTTGTATTTTTAGTAGAGATGGGGTTTCACCATGTTGGTCAGGCTGGTCTCAAACTCCTGACCTCATGATCCACCCACCTCAGCTTCCCAAAATGCTGGAATTACAGGCATAAGCCACACATGCAGTCCCCTTTGTCATTCTTTAAACAAGTATTTATTATCTTTTCGGGCCAGGCATGATGCCTGGACATTAGGTAATAATTGCTGAATAAAATATTCAGCCACCGGGCATGGTGGCTGGCTCACTCACACCTATAATTCCAGCACTTTGGGAGACCGAGGTGGGTGGATCACCTGAGGTCAGGAGTGCGAGACCAGCCTGGCCGACATGGTGAAACCCCATCTCTACCAAAAATACAAAAAATTAGCCGATGTGTAGTGGTGGACATCTATAATCTCAGCTGCTCAGGAAATGGGGGCAGGAGAATCACTTGAACCTGGGAGGCGGAGGTTGCAGTGAGCCAAGATCATGCCATTGCTCTATAGCCTGGACAACAGAGAGAGACTCCGTCTCAAAAAAATAAAAATAAATAAATAAATATCCACCTAGAATTTACAGATAAATAAATCATTGTTCAGTTATATACTAGCCAAAATAGATATAGCCCTTGCCTTGCCTTTCTGGAGCTTCAAGTTTTGTGACAGAATATAGACCTTAGAAAAATAATTACCCAATAAATATATAATAAAACTTATGATAAATTCTGTGAATGTAAGGAATAAGATTCAGTGAGAAAGAACACCAGGGGCATGGGCAGGGCCCTCTGAGGAAACTGTATCTAAGCTGAGATGTGAGAGCTAAGCAGAGACGAATGAGGAGAGGTAGACTTCCCCTCCTTCTGTGTAGACACAGAAGGAGCAGCATATGTGTGCCGCCTCTGAAACAGGAAAGTGCTTAGCCCTCTTAGGGAGTTACGGCAATGCCTGTGGGGGACCAGCCTGGCAAAGAGAGGTGGCCGCTCCTTCCAGGACAGAAGCAGAGCTGTTCTACCATGAGGCTTTACATGGGCAAATGTGTATGATCCTGAGAAGTCTTGATTCTAGAAAGACTGTTCTCTAAATCTCAAAGTGTACACCCGCCAAGTTTCTGGGTTACCCTTTTCTTTTCATTCATCCACCAATGCTATGATATTTATCTGAGCACCTATTGTGTACCAGGCACCAGGCTACAACTAGGATAGACACTCTAAGATTGTTTATCCAACTGTCAGCCAAAAGGCACAGTCCTTCCAGGTACTTTGCATGGGATTGAAGTGCTTTGATTTAGTTGGCTGAAGAGTGGTAGAAAAAGTTTGAATTTCTCTTAATTCAAATTACATTTTCACTATAATCAAATTATAATTTTAGAAATGTTTCATCTTAATTTGTTGATGTTCTTCATATCTGTGTGGTGGCCTCTTAATTCATTGACCCTGTGTTTGTTTTTGCGACCTCTGAAGAAATTCATGATCGGCAAATGAACGTTCAGCTGAGGAGGATCTAAGAACCCCTGTGAAACATGGAGGATCATGTGTTAGCTATTGTTAATGATTACTTTACCATGTCTGTTCCAAAACTAATAAATTTGTGCATCTGTAACAGAAAACATGCAGGGGATTTCCAGTCGATGTGAACAGGAGGGAAGCAGCCCTTCTTACATTATTGATTCCCATTGAAGAGCCTCAAAATGCAGCTATTTCCAATCTGCAAGACACCAGGGTTTCTGGGGAAGGGTGCGGTGAGATTATAGCTTTTTTGGTGTCCTGTGTACAATGCCCTATTTCCCCGTGGACTCTTAAACATTTAATAACAATAATTACAGTTTCCCAAGCCAGATCATGGCAGATGAGTGATTCCCATCATCTTGGAAGAACTCCGCCTTAAAAGCTTAAAAACTGATCATCATTTTCCCTGACTCTTTAATAGAAGAAATCAGATGAAAAGAAGGGCTGATGTTTTTATTTCAGCTTGTATGCAACTCTTAGTTTTTTCTTTTTTCTTTTTTGAGTTAAGGGCCCCCTGGCCCTCCAGTGGGAGTTACTTTCCTGCTCAAGAGAGTAAGTGAGGATATGATATGAAGGTATGCTTCCTATTCTTAATGCACGTTTCCCATAGTTGCTACTTTCTCAGCTCCCTTAACAATCCCCAGATCTGAGCATGTGTCCTAAAGGATGGTTCTTATTTGGGTTCCCTGTCTGTCTCTCATTTAGACACCTGTTTCTATTTATAGGTCTCTGAGATCTTTGATTAAGATCAGGTTTTCTGTCCTTTTGTAATTCCCCTCTGGCAGGGCAACGCTTGCTAACTCTTTAAAGTCTCTGGCTTCAAAAATCATGAAGTTTTACACTGGGATAATTTGAGTTCTCAAAAGCGGATCTTAAATCCATCCCAGAATGTTTTATCTTTTGATTTTTATTCACTTTTACTATATCTCTAAAATAGAAGTGTTCATTCATATGAATTAGCCAAAATTTTATTTTTAATCCATATTATAAATAATAGCACAAATTTTATTTTTAATCCATATTATAGAATTTATTTAAAATTTAATACATATTATAATCCATATTTAATCCATATTAAAATTTTTATTTTAATCCATACAATAAATAATAATAGCACAAATTTTATTTTAAAATAAGCCTTTTCTCTTCAGACCTTCCTGGCTATGAAAGGAAATCCACTTATCACAAATTTATCATTAGAATGTTTTATCTTGGAACTGTACAAGTTTCTTCAAAATAAATGGTATTTTTCCCACAACGTGGTGGAATCTTGGCAATGAGATTTGATTTTTAAAAAGTTTGACCCTTTATTTTGCAGTAAAGAGAGATAGAGAAGCATTTTTAGTTAATTGTGTTTCAGAAATTCCCATAAAGAAAGACCATCTTTCCAAGTCTGTACTAGACTTTTTGCTTTCATTGCAAAACTTTAATAACATCATTTTATCTTCTGTCTCATTTTGGTAAGTGATCTTCTATTTGTGAGTCGGTTTTATACATTAGAAATAACAGAGAATTTAAAGTAATCGAACTTGTAAATAAATAGTTTAGTTTATGCCTACTTTGCCTCCTTGCCTTCTATTCAGTTTTATTAGCTGAGGTCTTTTGTCAACCTGTTTCTTGTTTTAACTGAAAAATACCTGATTGTTCGGGTAGAAGACCCAACCTTGATACATATTTTGGGAGTTAATTTGTATTTATGATTCCAGATTTTCTCAGTTGCTGTAAGTTATGTAAAATTATACTGACACATTACAGTAACAAAAGGTGTTTTGTATAGGGGAATGATACTTGTCAAATAAATGAACAAACAAATTTAAAATGGAAGACTTCTTTTCCTTTTTGTCCCTAATTTTTTTTCCTTATTGATAAAACTTTACCTCTTGCCAATCATCTTTATTTAGCACTAAAGCTAACTGTGTAAATATCAGTTTTCTTTTTGAGACAGAGTCTTGCTCTATCAGCCAGGCTGGAGTACAGTGGTGCAATCTTGGCTCACTGCCACCTCCACCTCCCGGATTCAAGCAGTTCTCATGCCTCAGCCTCATGAGTAGCTGGGATTACAGGCATGCACTGCCACACCTGGCTAATTTTTGTATTTTTAGTCGAAACAGGATTTTGCCATGTTTGCCAGGCTGGTCTCGAACCACTGGCCTCCAGTGATCTGCCCACCTCAGCCTCCCAAAGTGCTGGGATTACAGGCATGAGCCACTGTACCCCACCATAAATATCCCTTTTCTTTAAAAAATCAGGGATTAGCCGGCACGGTAATGTATTCCTGTAATCCTGTTGGCTCAGGGCTGCCATGGGAAGATTGCTGGAACCCAGGAGTTCGAGACTGCAGTGAGCTATGATTACACTACTGCACTACAGCAATACAGCGAGACCCTGTCTTAAAAAAAAAAAAAAAAAAGCAAAAAAAGGATGATGTTTTTCCTTTTGTGTCCAGTTTGGTTTTTCTCCCTGTGAAGGTCTGTAATACTAGGTCAGTTGTTCTAGGTTTAAAAAGCTGTCAGTTGCTAGAGGCAGTGTGACTTTGCCATCCCAATTTAAACCACGGCTGCTGCCCCAGACACACCTTCTTCTTTGACTCAATTGGTCTAATGTTTATGCTACTAATACAAAGAACTGTGCTTCAGGTAACTGTTTCCAGGTTGTTTTGTTTTTCTGGCACCTCCCTCTACTTTGTTTTTTAAGCAAAAGCACATCACCTGATTTGCCTGTAGGCTCAGGGCAAGCTCCGCTGTGTGTCAAGCTTTTTAACTTCACAGTCTATACTTGTAAAGCAATTAAAAAATAAATCACCTATCCTATTTAGCACAGACCACCTGACTTTTAAGGGGCTTTCAAAGGAAATGGACTCTTGCCTTGGTAGTGGGAACTGCTGCTTCTTGCACTAGAGGCTGGAACTGGAGGTGGGGTGTGGCTGGAAGGTGCTGTCATGTCTCATGAAATCAGCTTCATGTTCTGTTGTCAAACAAGAGCAGCAGGTGTTTCTGTTTTCTTAGCTACTCTTTAGGGGCTGAGTCCAAGTTGATTAGGACTTAGACATAGCCTCCTCCAGAAGTTTTTCCTCTCTCATCAAGCTCTCTCACTGTTCTTCTTATTTAAAAATCATTAAAAAAAAAAAAAAAAAAAAGGAGATCAAAATTAGTATGCAGGGCAGCCATGAATGGGAAAAGATCTCATAGCCTGGGATGGGAAGGAAGCAAAATGGGAAGCTCCACACCTGAGAGTTGGGGGAGAGCAGGAGCCGGGAGGCTGCCAGCTGACAGATTGTGTGTGCGCACAGGTGAGCACGTGGGGGTGCAAAGGTGAGCGTGTGTGCTGTGCATGTAGTTTATGTGCACAGAGGAGCATGTGTGTTATGCCTGTGGGTGTGGGTATATGCGCTTGAGTGAGAATGTGAGTGTTGTGTGTTTTGTGTGTGTATGTGCTCAGGTGAGAATGTATGTGTGCGTAGTGTGGGCTCTGGTCTCCTCCTTGGATAGGCACCATCACCTCTGGGTCTTTACCCTCATGGACAGTGGTTCCGCAAAATCTCAGATGGTTCTTTCTGGAAAATTCTACTGGCAGATCCTGGCATTGGGGAAGTTGGGAAAATACATGAAAATTGTCTGCTGGGGACTGGGGTGAGTCATGCACTAGTGTTGTTTGCAAAGCAGTGTGCAATTGTAAACCTCTTAAAATCCCAAATACCAGGCTGGGCGTGGTGGCTCACACCTGTAATCCCAGCACTTTGGGAGGCCAAGGCGGGCAGATCACCTTAGGGTGAGGAGTTCGAGACCAGCCTGACCAACATAGAGAAACCCCATCTCTGCTAAAAAATACAGAATTAGCTGGGCATGGTGACGCATGCCTGTAATCTCAGCTACTAGGGAGGCTGAAGCAGGAGAATTGCTTGAACCCAGGAAGCAGAGGTTGCAGTGAGCAGAGATCACACCGTTGCACTCCAGCGTGGGCAACAAGAGTGAAACTCCGTCTCAAAAAAAAAAGAAAAAAAAAATCCAGATACCTTTCCTACATAAAGTACTTTATTATATGTGCATGTAATCAGTTATATAAAAAGGAGACAAAAAGTTTGAAGGATATTAGCAGCTACATTATTCATATTAGAAACTACAGTCTCAAATTCTAGATGGCAAAATAAATACCCCCCCTTGCATTATTCCTTCCATCAGAAGGAAGCTAAAAGCTATAGCCATAAAGTGTGCTTGGGTGACTGGACAGTGTCATCAGCATTCTCCCTATAGACAACGTAGTATCTATGCGAGTGTGAGGAGACAGTGAAGAGATGGAGACAGAAAGGCTGACTTTTCATATCTTTATAGACAGGGTCATATGATTAAGGTTTCAGACCCTTCATGTGACAAAATGGGAAAGTATTCATGTGAGGAGAGGGTGTATCTGTTTTGAAAGACATCTGGAAATTATCACATTTTGCATAAATAAAAAGTGCTTGGGCTCAGATATCAGAATATGCAACTAACTGTGAAAAACGGTCAAGTTGGGTGTGGAGGTTCACCAGTGAAAGTACTTTTTAATTTATATTGGAAAAGAGAAAGGGTGGGCGACAGAGATCATTTTACTTTGAATACTTTGATTGACTTTGATGTGTTTCATGTGATATCGGAGAACAGGATAGAGAAACCAAAGTTTGAGTTTCACTCTAGCCACCAGACTCTAAGTAGATTTCTACAGCACTTGGCACTTGGTCTTCGGCAATTTAAAAATAAATCAAAGTTTAAATGCTTAATATTTTCATTTTTTGATGTTTGAAGCATGAACTATACTGTTGCTATTTTGCTTACTTTTGTTTTTTTCTTCTTTCCTCTCTTTGTTTTAGTGGCATGCCCTCTCCCGTGAAGAGCAGGCTAAATATTATGAACTAGCACGGAAAGAAAGACAGCTACATATGCAGCTTTATCCAGGCTGGTCTGCAAGAGACAATTATGTAAGCCCCTTCTCCATACCAACGACTCTCTACTCTCATTCATTCGCTCTTTAGCTTTCAAGAAGGAAACGTGTTTTAGGGTGTATACAGTGCTGGCACTACTTATTTTTGGACGTTAATGAACGTTGTAATAAGGATTTTATGGATATATTGCATTATGAAAGCTTTGAGCTACCATTTTTTTTTCTTTTTGCTATGGGTGCTAATGAATGCTTTTAAATAAAAATTTTTAAAAATAAAAGTAATAGTATTAAAAATAATTTTTAGTTTAAAGTAATAGTAATAAAAGTAATTTTTAAATCAAAGTAATATTATAAAAATTTGGTTAAAAATGATTAAAAAAAAAGAAGCCCATAATCTTACTATGTAAAGGCAACATTAGTAATAACTATTTATTTACCTTTTAATGTTTTTTCTATGTGTAGTTTTATTTTTTTACTTGGATATTTGTGTGCATGTGTGTATATATGTACACGTTTGTTGCATGCCTCTTGTTCTTATATATAAAAGACATTTCTCTGTTATGGCATAGTGTTTATGTATATCAATACTCCACTAAGTGAATGTCATAATTTACTTGTCTAATTTTTTCCTGCTTTTAGACATTTAAGTTGCTTCCTATTTTTCTTACAATGGCAAATATTCCTTCAGCAAACATGTCTGTACATCAGTTTTTTCCTTGTAAAAGGAAAAAATAATAGGACTATTATTTATGTTGAATATATACATTGTGGAGGTAAAGAATATAAATATCTTTAATTTTTTTTTTTTTTTTTTTTTTTTTTTTTTTTGAGATGAAGTCTCGCCCTGTCACCCAGGCTAGAGTGCAGTATCGTGATCTGGCTCACCTCCGCCTCCTGGGTTCAAGGGATTCTCCTGCCTCAGCCTCCCGAGTAGCTGGGATTACAGGCACGCACCACCACACCCAGCTGTTTTTTTGTATTTTTAGTAGAAATAGGGTTTCACCATGTTGGCCAGACTGGTCTCAAACACCTGACCTCAGGTGATTTGCCCGCTTCGACCTCCCAAAATTCTGGGATTACAGGCGTGAGCCGCTGCCCCCAGCTATTTTAAAGTTCTTGATACATAATGTCACGTTGCTTTCCAAAGAACTGTATTATTTTACACTTTTTATAAACAGTGTATTCAGATGACTGTTCTGCCACAGACTACTTAGAACTGGGTAAAGAATTCTTTTTTAATGTTACTGTACCCTAGCATCATGTATTCTATTCAGTGTAGGTATGTCATGTTTAAGTCATACTAATTTTATCAGCAAAAAAATACCTCATTTATAGTGCCAATTGTTTTATGACTGTAGAATTTGAGCATCTTATTTAACGTAGTCTTGATAGGGCAAAGACTGTTTTAGCTTATAGAGGGGAATAATTTTCACTATTTAAGCCCTTAAAATAATTGAATATTTTGCAGTTATTATGTCTGAGTTCATGCAGCCTGCTATATAATAAAAGAGACATGGTGGGTTATAAACAACACGTTTATTTCTCATACTTCTGGAGCCTGTGAAGTCCAAGATCAGGACGCAGGCAGGTTTGGTGTCTGGTGAGGGCCTGCTCCCAGTCTTCTGGCTGTATCTTCGCAAGGTGGAAAAAGGAGGAAGAGAGTGCTTCAGGGTCTCTTTTAGAAGGACATTATCTCCTTCATGAGAGCTCCTTGCTCAGGCCGTAATCACCTCCCAAAGGCTCTGCCTCGTTGTACCATCACACTGGGGTTTAGAATTTCAGCATATGCATTTGGGAGAACACAACATTCAGTCTGTAGTAATTCTCAGGTTCTATGTGAGATGAGCATTAGAAATGCCAGCCAGGCCAATCTTAATAAAAGTGGAGTGATTGCTTTTTAAAAGGGCAAGAGCAAAACCACTAATCAATTTACAATTTAATATGCAGCCATTGTTTTAGGTGCTCCTGTGGGGCTCAAGATCTCACAGAGATGATGACAAGGATGTGTATATGAGGACATAAGCTCAAGGAAATTTACTTCTGGAAATGGGTTACACAATTTATTTTCTATAATGTGCTCCACAGAAAAGGTCACTTGACTGCTCAAGGTTTGGAGCTCAGACACTGGATACAAGCTTGACACAGGAAGTAGGAGTTTGTTACTTATGGGAAACAGCCTAGTCAGCTCTTCTGAGTTGTTTTGGTTGCTTCAGTAACTACCATATGCTGATGGTTAGGAACTGTCTTAAATTCTTCACAGCAACCCAGTGGTGGAGTGAATATTATTACATGAATATGATTGCTCAGTTTTTCAGGTGAGGAAATTGAGAGGCTGAAGAGGTTAGGTAATTTGTCCAAGGCCTTGTAGTAGGTGGCTAAGCTGAAGTTTTTATTCGGGTCACTCAGACTTCAAAATCTACATGGTTTTCGGTCTGGGTGCAGTGGTTCATGCCTGAAATGTCAGCACTTTGGGAGGCAAAGGTGGGCAGATCATGAGGTCAGGAGTTTGAGACCAGCCTGACCAACATAGTGAAACCCTGTCTCTACTAAAATATAAAAATTAGCTGGGGGTAGTGGCACACACCTATAGTCCAAGCTACTCAGGAGGCTGAGGCAAGAGAATTGCTTGAACCCAGGAGGAAGAGGTTGCAGTCAGCTGAGATTGTGCCACTGCACTCCAGCCTGGGCGACAGAGCCAGACTCCATCTCAAAGAAAACAAAAAACACTATGTGGTTTTCCTCCTCCTGAGTAGGTTAGCTCAGTCTTCCAGTGCCTTCTTTCTTTCTTCTTCTTTTTTTGGAGATGGAGTTTCGTTCTTATTGTTTAGGCTGGAGTGCAATAGCACAATCTTGGCTCACCGCAACCTCTGCCTCCCAGGTTCAAGCATTTCTCCTGACTCAGCCTCCTGAGTAGCTGGGATTACAGGCATGTGCTACCATGCCTGGCTAATTTTGTATTTTTGGTAGAGACAGGGTTTCTTCATGTTGGTCAGGCTGGTCTTGAACTCCCAAGCTCAGGTGATCCACCTGCCTCAGCCTCCCAAAGTGCTGGGATTACAGGTGTGAGCCACTGTACCCAGCCCAGTGCCTTCTTAAGACTGCTGTAGTTGAAGACTTTTCACCCCTGAACCAGGCTTCTGTTTTCTGAGCAACAATTACCAACTCTGTATAGAACCCCTGCCGTGCCCTGTAAGTGGGAAGATCAGTGTTCACCCAGACGGTTTCAAAAGTGTCTCCTTCTGGCCAGTGTAGTGGCTTACCCCTGTAATCCTAGCACTTTGGGAGTCAGAGGTGGAGGTTGGTGGATCACTTGAGGTCAGAAGTTCGAGACCAGCCTGACCAACATGGTGAAGTGTCTACTAAAAATACAAAAATTAGCTGGGTATAGTGGTGTGCACCTGTAATCCCAGCTACTTGGGAGGCTGAGGCAGAATTGCTTGAACCTGAGAGGCAGAGGTTTTAGTAAGCCCACATCATGGCATTACACTTCAGTCTGGGTGACAAGAGCAAAACTCAGTCTCAAAGAAAAAAAAAGTGTCTTCTTCTAATCCTGCCCTGGGTGTCTTTTAGATGTAGTTTGTCTAAAAGGGGAGAGCTAATCTTCCTCTATGACCTTTATAAACTTTATTGTGCTGTGAATTTTATTTAGCATTGCTTGTTGAATGCCTTTAATTTTTTTTTCTAATTCTTAAGTAATGAATTTTGACTTTTAAAAAGACATTTAAAAAACACCTACATATTCTCTCTCTCTCCCTCTATCTTGTTCTCTCTTCTCCATGTCAATGGGTGGGAAGAAAGTAGTTTTAAAGAAAGCTACAGTAATATGAATGTGAATTTACCTTTAAAGATTTTCCTCTGCACAACTTTTAAAGGAAATTGTTTTGCATATTCTTTGAATGAAGGGAAAGCCCAGCTTCATTCATAGGATTGTCAGCATAATTAAAATAAGTCAGTCAATTACTGAGGCAGCCAGAAGCTGATCAATGATAGTACTTTACCTAAAGATATTGTTCTTAAAATAACAGTACTGTACAGGATAGAATGAAGGTAAAATCGAGGCATTTAGTGCCACAATGGTAGCCTGATCCTCAGTGAAATATGTATGTCAATGATTCAATATTGAAATACCCTATTCTGTGACATAGATTTATAATTTCAATTTGCTTTTATAACTTTGGCTAATAACTGAGCTTTTCATAAATTAATGGTGCACAAATTTTCTTGGGTGAGATTAGCCAAATATTTATAATGTTAGAACTTTTCAGTTGAGTTTTTAATGCTCCCAATATCATATAGTCTGTATAATTTTAACAAAAAAATTTTTTTTTTTTTACCATACATGAATGTTGGTTTTTGTGTATCTTGACATTAATACATCCAAACTACGTAGTTCTTTTTGCATATCATAAATGTAGTGTCTTTTGAAGAACTGGTTGATACCTAGAAGGTAACAGGTTATTTGACTTAGTGGTAGAGGCATAAAATGCAGGCCTCAGATGGTCACTGTGTGCCAGCTATGATCTAGGCATGTGTGAGTTGGGGAGCATGGTGCTGAGAGACCCAGGCGGTGCTCTGGGGACAGAGCCCATTACAGCACCTGTGAGGCATTCAGTAAGCAGTGAGCCCAGGGTCATGGGGAGCTCAGAGAGGAGCCCCAGCTCTCCCTAAGGGATGGACAAACAAGTGGGGAGCAGAAAAGGTTCATAGAATAGATATCACTTGAGAGATGTCACTATTGAGGGTTGAAGGGTAAATGGAGCAGGGAAAGAAGAAAGGGTGACATATAAGGTTCCAGACACACGAAACCACCTTGTAGTAACTTCTGAACCTTGCAGTAATTCCATTGAAAGGACCATGTGGATTCCTGAAAGAAGCATGCAACCCCTCTCTGCTCCCTGACTTCAGAGCACCTTTAATAATCCTGAAAGAAGACTCCATTGTTTTTGATGTGCTGTTTCTCAGGATCACTGATATCTACTCTTGGCCTCAGTGTTTGTTAGGATGATTTTAGTCACTCTTCTGAAGCTGTACAGCCTCAATGGCCACGTGACATGAAGTACTATCTTGAGGTGCAGAAATAGGCACTTTTATAGAGCCACAAAATATATACAGTACAATCTTAAGGCTTTGTTTATTATTTGTTAATGTGATTATTACAACAGACAGAAGATAGAGATATTGAATATGATATGTGTTCTGTTTTAGTTATTTGAAAATACCTGATGCAGGTTGGTCATTTACTATAAGTGGACTATGGCTATACACCATTAAAATTATTATAATTTTGAGACAAGGTCTTGCTCTGTTATCTAGGCTGGAGTACAGTGGCACAATCATAGTTTACTATAGCCTCGACCTCCTGTGCTCAAGCAATCCTCCTGTCTGTGCCTTCCAAAGTGCTGGAATTACAAGTGTGAGCTACTGTGCCTGGCCTGGCCTAAAATAATAATTATATATTATATTTATTATTTTAATATTATTAAATTATTATTTATTTATTATTTAATAATTTATTTTATAACAAATTATAAATGATTTAATTTATATATAATTATATAATTTATATAATTAAATTATTTATTATAAATCTATTATATAATAAATTATTATAAATTATTTAGTATAAAATAAATTTATAATTTATAATACTAAATTAATAATTTATTATTTATAATAATTATAATTATTATTATTATTTGAGACAGGGTCTCATGCTGTTGCCTGCAGTGGCATGATCGTGGCTCACTGCAGCCTCTGCCTCCCCAGTTCAAGCAGTGCTCCTGCCTAAGCCTCCCAAGTAGGTGGGATTGCAGACGCACACCACCATGCCTAACTAATTTTTGTATTTTTAGTAAAGACAGGGTTTCACCGTGTTGTCCAGGCTGGCCTTGAACTCCTCACCTCAAGTGATTCGCTTCTCAAAGTGCTGGGATTACAGGTGTGGGCCACCATACCGGGCCTAAAATTATTTTTGAGGGCAAAGTAGTTATGAAGAAATAGGAAAAATTAGACCACTGTGAGTGGGATCTAAATTTTTAATTTGGCATTGAGATGATTTGGAAATACATTTAAAATGGTATGCATATCCATGTTATTTTGTCTGTCTTAGGAAGCAAGGTCCTTAACTGCCAGAAGTAAGTCTTTGAAATATCTTCATTTTCTAGGTTCTCTCATTCTCCTCTCCCTTTCTCCTTTGTTTTGTTGTGCCTGTGCCACAAGGCCTATGGTTACTTGATTAACACCAGAGAACTTTCAATTAGACAATGGAATTCACAGTAAGGTTTATCATAGGCACTACCAGAAGTGGGTTCTAAGTGTGGTGGTTAGTAAGAAGAAGAATGCCTCATTAAGCTGGCTTTCCTTTAAGAGGGTCCTATGGCCACAGCTTTAGGACATCGTTATCCATTTGTGGGTGTGTGTGTGTGGGTGGGTGTGTGTGTGCGCACCCATGGTGTCAATATTGATGTTAAATACGAAGCTATGGAGACAGAGGTCACCAGGTCACTGTTTTCTCCCATTCTCTTGCTCTCTAAATGGTGAGAGGGAGAGAGTGAGTCATCCTTACCGCTTTGTTGACCGCCTGCCTGTGCTTTTACATCACATTCATCCGTGTGTTTATGGTGCAATCTGTAGCCTCACAGTGTCCCTTTCTTCTTCCAGGGTAAGAAAAAGAAGAGGAAGAGAGAGAAACTACAGGAATCTACATCAGGTAAGCACCATGAAACTTTCCAGTCCATCCTCAGGCTTCTGACAAACAACTTTAAAAGCAGTCTGCATCTCTCTACACACTGCTTTCTTCTGTAACTGTAACTCGTGATTCTGTAACTCTGCTTTTTCTTCCTGAAATTCTTTTTAAAAATGTAAAAGACGTTCTTTTAAATGTGACTGTGTGAAGGTATATGTAAAAACTGTTTCCCAAACCCTGTCACCTCGATCCTGGTTGTTAACTGTGAGATTTTGTTTGTTTGTTTATTCATTTTATTTTTGCTTCTGTTGCCTGTGTTTACTTTGCTTTAACACTCTTGCTTTTATACTATTTTATCTAACTCCTTAAAGATACAATATTTTATGATGATTATGATATATTACTTGGTATTCCCTTGAGAAGCTCTTGTGATTTGGGTTTTTAAAAAATGTAAACATAATGATAGGGTTTGTCTTTCTTGTACATTAGTTCAAGACATCAGGGAGGTGCCATTTATTTCCCTTTTTTCTTTCATTAAAAATGAGGCCACTACTTGTACTGCACAAATAAAAATGGCTGGTATAAGAACCATGAAAAGTAAAGCAAACAAGTTCACATGATATTGTAGCTTCTACGTATTTGGAATGTACAAAAACCTCGTCAATAAAAATTTGTTAAAGACACAATTTTCTGCAGGTACAGGTCCAAGAATGACAGCTGCCTACATCTGAAACATGGTAAGAATGACTCTCTGGTCCTACTGCTGACATTAGTTGTTATAAAAAGAGGCACTTGCTTGTGAATCTTCTTGCTCATATTGAGTTCATTCTACATTGCTCCTTAAAGAGGAGAACTCAGCAAAATCAAATTAGCACTTTTAAAAATCTGATGGTTTTTATACCGGCTATATATTTGCAATATAGTAAGCTTTTATCTTTTCTGTCCTATCCCTTTGGCCCATTTATTCTTTCTCCATTTCCTTTCCCCTAACTCCTTCTTCTAAACCATTTCTTACTGATAAGTGGCAAATTGGTCTGCTTAAAAAAAAAGAACACATGACAACACACAGTAAGCCAAATGCTGTCGTACTCAGCAAATCAAGGGTGGGATTGAGGAGTACCATTTTAGCCCAGGACTTACAGTTTTTGCTCAGTAGAGATTTTTTTTTTCAATTGAAATCACATGTAGTCACTCAAAAGTAATTTATGTGTGTCTAGTCAGAAAGCTACATATGCTTTATATATTTTTTCTATTAATAATATGGCATGGGCCCTTATTTAACTGTATTTCTTCTATCAGGTATTTCTCTTTATTGGTAACCATTGCTAGATTTCACTCTAGTATGTATAAGTAATTTGTTTTTTACTGTAATTTTTAAATTTATATCCACATGACTGCTAGCCCAAGGAACCTGAAATTGTGATGTAAGTCTTGGTCTTTATTAAGCTTTGAATTAGCAGTATGCATACATGTTCTCCTGGTAACAGTTCTCAAAGGAGCTGCCTTTGGTTATCCTCTCTAGAAACCTACATCCAGTCAATCATCAGGTCTTCTATCCCTGCCTTTGGGGCCTTTCTTGAGCCTTGTCTCTCACACTTAGCACTGCCACAGCCCTGGTTCAGGTGCTCAGACTTTCCAGCTGGAGTACTGTAATACACGTTAATCATTTTTCTGCCTCCAGACATTTCTGTCTACCATTCCATCCTTTACCTTGATCCCAGAAGGATTTCCTGCAACTCAGATTGTGTGTCACTTCCCAACATGGAAACAGTTGGTACTTCCCATTGGCTGAAAGATAAAGCACCCAGCACTTAGTGTGTGGGTCTGCCCCGCCGTGCCCTTGTGGTTTTGCCCCCAGTCACTCTTGCTCTCTGCCTCTCCTCACTTTCAGCCTAGCTTCTGAGTCCTGTGCACAGTCCAAACAAAATTATTAGCAGTTCCCCACATGGCTGGAGGGTACCACACATGCTGTTCCTGAGCTGCAAAACCCAATTTCTCTACAGAGGAATGGGTAGACCTGTGCAATGTTTCTTAGGAGAAGAGTGTTCTCTTATAGTTCGTTTGGTCCTTGACTAAACCAAACCAGGTGGTCTTCACCTAAATTTTTAGAACTTAATTTTGGTGCTGAGTTTTCAAACAACTTGCCCAAAGGTGCCAGCAGAGATTTTGGTACCAAGTAGATCTGAATTTTAAATCAGTTGATTGCCTGAGCAATCTACTTCAGCTTTTTAATCTTCTTTTTCTTACCTGGAAAAAGGGAATATTGATACCGACCCCCTGTGGTGGTTGATGTGCAGGATTTGCCTGCGGCCGGCACAGTTGGAGCTCAGACACATCCTTTCTTCCTTCTGAGACCTAAGTCAAGGGCCCTGTCCTCTGTGAAGCTTTCTTCATCTTTATTCAGATTCCCCAGGTTTTTCCAAATCCTGTCACTGTATTTTTATGATATCAAAACTCTTCTAAACTAATTCTGAGTGACAAGCTTTCCTCCAAGTGAACAGAAGATCATCCCTTCATATAAGATCAAAAACTAATATAATCATTTTAACTTAGTGGCTGTTAGCTGAGAACCTCTTCTGAGCCAGCCACCTGGCTTGATTATTAGAAGCACAGATAGGAGGTAAGCATGGCCAATGACCCCCACCCCAGAAGCTCATGGCTTCATAATAGAAGTAAATCTAGTAAAAATCACAAGGTTTAAAAAAAAAGAAAAACTTTTAATTACTGAGCACCTAGGAATGGCCAGAAGGTTTTTCATGTTCTGCCTGTAAACAGAAAGCTCTCAGAAGGGCAGTGTGCTAAGGGCTGGTACCCAATTTACTTCACTTCTGTTTGCACCAAAAATCTGTGAAGCTAATTATTTTTATTAAAAATCATGCCAAAATCTACTTTTGTATTTCAGAGCTTGGTACTTGATTTGGTGTACTTCATGAATAGCATCCTATGGTATTTTAGATGTAAAAGGTAGCTATTTTTTGTCCTAAGGTGTATCCCAAACATCTTTCTCTAGGAAGTCACAGGTGTCATTGTGCTTTCTTGTCACTTATTTATATTTTTTTAAGGTTAAGATGTTACCTCTTTCCTGCACAAAAAAAAACAGAAATAACCCTTTCTCTCTGCCCTGCCCCTCAAAAATATTCTCAGGCCATCCTGCCGCTGGTGAGGCTCCAGTTGGTTGAGCTTCCTGTAATCAGAGTCTCTGATGTTGCCCTCCCTCTCATTCCCGGATCAGTCATGTAGCCTTTGAAGTCACTGCCCTGCACACCATCCAAGTTTGGACACCAGAACTGGCAGCTACTGGCTAAGAATTGGAGAGTAGAGAGGAGCTCAGATCCACCTTCATAAAGATTTCCATAAATTAGACACGATAATATTCCTGTTGTACCCTACCCCTTCCTTTGCAGGAATTCGGAAACTATTCTCTTTGTGTTGTAGCTAACTTTTTTGGTCATGATTCAGCGTTTATTGAGCACGTAAGATAGGCCCTGTGGAGACTTGAATGACCTGGAAATAGAGTGTTGGATGGAGCAAAGAAGGTCCCTGTTGTCACAGTGTTTGTTATGTTGCTGTGAGGGTAGTTGATTGAAAAAACGAACAGGAAAATATAAATAATATAATAAAAATTAATTAGGGGGTAACTTGGGGGTCTGCTTTTAGGTTGGATTGTCAGGAAAGGCACCTCTAAAGAGGTGGCAGTCAGAAATAACTACCATTACCACAGAAAAATGGAGGGGTCTTCTGTTCTGGAACAGAGCCCTGGCAAATACATGAAAGACAAAGGGAACACAGCATCATGTTATGAAAAGAGCAGAGCCCGGGAATGAGGCCACCCAGTCTTTAGGTTAGTGCTGGTGTAAATTGCGTAGCCTGGGACAGGTCGCCTAAAGCCTGTGGTTTATTGATGTAAGCAAAGGATTGTGCCCAGTGGCCTCTGAGATCCTTGTCGGTCTCTCCCTCAAGTCCAGCTTTCTGGTCTGCTTTGTTTTTGTGTGGTCTGCACTGCCTCCCAGTGTTATTAGGGGCACTCAGATCTCTTTTTTATTTTCTAATTTGTAGTCATCATTCTATGTCTGAGTGGCTCTGTATTACTGTAAATCCTCTGCATGACCTTGAAAATGGCTTATACATGACGAGGTTGTTCTTCAGTTCCTGTACAGATCAGCCCTTGTTCCCATTCTTCCTCCCCAGGATGGCTGCCTCACATCCTGGGATATTAGATGCATTGCCTCTAGTTACAAGGTCTGATTTTCTACTAATGTAATAATATGGTTCCTTATTTGCCATACTACAGTCATACTAGTGCTGACCTCACCTTCGAAGTAAGCCAGAGACAGATAAAATACTTGATTAGAACCAACCCTACAGGGTTGGCATGGTGGCTCATGCTTGTAATCCCAGTACTTTGGGAGGCTGAGGTAAGTGAATTGCTTAAGCCCAGGAATTTGAGACCAGCCCGAGCAACATGGCAAGATCCCTTCTCTACAAAAATTATCTGGGTGTAGTGGCATGCGCATATAGTTCTAGCTACTGGGGAGGGCTGAGGTTGTTGGATCTGTTGAGCCTGGGTTGTGCCACTGCACTCCAGTCCAGGTGACAGTGTGAGACTCTGTCTCAAAAAGAAAAAAGAAAAAAAGATTTTAAAAAATCTGCTGTTTAAACACATTTTGCTAAATAAAAACTTCAGCCTTTATTTCCCTAGGGCCAGGAGATGAGCAGGAGAGGTGCTAAGCTCAATATAGTAGTTAATGTTCAGTGCTTGGATTTACATTTTAAAAAAGATTGTTCTGGCTTTTTCTGTGATGGTGATGTTTGACAGCCTGGTGAGGTCGTTAATTTGAGAACTTGGGTCTCCTGGATCCTGTCAAGCTGTCCTCCAGAGCTGACAAGTTGCCAAGTGGGAATAGAAGCAGTATCTGGACCAGTGAGAGGACTGCAACCCTGAGGGTCTGCCAGGAGCTGTGCCTGGTGTCCAACATTTAGCCCTGTCCTCTTAAAGCAGCCAGGGAGTGTTAATATTTTCAGTG